CAGCAGAAGTCAATACTCTGCTCTGAAATAACTCCCCCCATTTGGGATTACAGTGTTTTGCTGAGATCAAGAGCTGCAATTTATTCCTTGATGCACAGCCACGATGAATCTGGTCTGCCCTTGCAGACCAAGGCCAAATTGTCCTTTTTGTCCCTCAATATGTCCCAGATGTGCTGACAATCTGTAACTTCTGCTGGAGTCAAAGGCTGCTGGAGATTCTCCAAATCCCCCAAACCAGCCTTTATTGACTAAATGAAGCAAGTAGCTCTGGGCTGAGTGTGGTCCACAGTACTTTCAGAAAGATAGACTGGAGGAGAACAATGCCCCGCACTGTAAACCTTGCTGGGCTGTCAGGTCTGCTCCCTGCATCACTACAGGGCACAGAAATGCAGTGCTTGGCACAGCAGCCCGTCGGTCAAACCCTGCCTGTCACCTGTAGTGGGACGCGCTTTGATACCAGTCAGCTGGGTCAGGGTCAATTTTGTTTGGTTCTGCTTGAATTTCTGCCGGTTAGAAGAGGCTTGGTGTTCAGGAGTTTTTTCTCCGTTTTGATCTGATTTGCCACATTTTCTGTAGCTCGCAGTGCTGGGACTGCACCAGGGCAGCTCCAGGCCGCCTAAGACTGGGCTGTCGCAGTCCTACCCTCTTCAGACATGGTCGTGTGGCGAGCTAGCCAAGACAGCAGATCAAGTTAAAAATTAATCACTTCTTTCTGTCAGGCTAGTTTTCAGCCAGAGCAGCTCCCTGAGCAGCCACATCAGCACTGGCACAAGAAAGAGAATGGAAATGTGTGACCAGAGATAGGAAAGAAGATGGGACGGTGTCAGCTGCTAGCTCGGCTGAAGTTGGTCTGGAATGGCACTGGCCATCCTGGAATGGCTGTTCCCGTGCCGTTGGGCAGACGTCAACTTCTCTTACCACGCTCTGTAATTTCATTATCCTGGAGCGAGGAAGGATCTAAACTGACAATCATCAGCAAGATGACAGTTCCTCCAATGCACTACTAAAACCAACAGAACCTGAACCCAAATAGGGCATGTGCGTTTCTGATGGCCAGAGCCGTCATGTGGACATAAGGCTTTTTATCTCTGAGAAAAATGACAAATCCAACCACATGATTCCACCCTCGGAAATATGATCTCGCAATTGTTCATTATGGGAAATAATTCAGTACAGCATTATTCACTGGTCTTCCCTGATTTTTGACTGTTTAACTGGATACCGTAAGAATAATTCAAGTTGACTCATGTTTGTCATGTTTTTAAGCTTGGGGCTGTTCGTATTATAACAGGTTTCTTTGGAGCCACACGGGATTACGAATACGTTTCTGAAACGTGATCAAAGAGCTGTACCCTTTATATGGCATATGGCACACCTCTCAGGAAAAGTGAGACACACCAAGCGCCGCCTGTCCAACTGCGGCATGCCACTTAGGTGTGCTGTGCAGCTGAACCAAGGACAGCTGGCCTTGCCACATCTTAGGAAAACGTCATACAGAGAGCTGCAGGAGGGACTGGACAAGGATGCTGCACCAGGAGGCTTTTGTGTTCATACCAGCCATACATATAGTTTGCCAGTGAGGAAACCCACGGGTCAGGGTATGACCTGTCTCAGCTAGGGATGATGCTGTTCTGGTGCAAAGGTGAGGCCCGTGCTCCGCTGCTTTTGCGCACGAGATGCTTGGGCAAACCAGACTGGAACATGTGGACTCCTGAATCAAGGGAGCCTGACGCTCCTCCAAGAGCCTTTTTCGCTACGGTGGTGCACACAGCATATGGGCTCCCTCATGTGGATCTCCACAAGATGTACCAGAGACGGACCATGCAAGTACAGCTCGGGAGCACTGCAGCTGAAGAAGACACGGCACAACCTGCCCTCTCCAACTCTGCTGGGAAGAGGGACTCTCCCACAGGGAAGGAGAGTCCATCTCTGCTCCACTCAGAGTGAAGAGACACACTGCTGTCTAGGCAATGGGATTAAGTTTACACAACATGCAAACTATTTTTAAACTTTTAAAAACTCTGAGGAAGAAACTGGTTTCTTTTCCTAATCCTTTCTACCTTTCAATCTCTTTTATTTTTTTTAAGGAAACAGAGGAAATGCTATACAAAACCCACTTGTGTTAATAAAAGAGAGTTTCAAGAAGTCTTACGGTATCCAGTTAAACAGTCAAAAATCAGGAAATACCAGTGAATAAAGCTGTATGTACAGACTTAACTCTGTCTCTGTTTTTACACGACATTAAAACCTCATTAAGTACATAAGCCCATACTAATTCTTATCTATGAGACATAACATCATGCAGCTTCTTCTGTAACTGTGAATCTTACACAACCAAAGAACTGGTGGTGGAGTCCTGCAGGTTTCCTCAGAGTGAACGGCTGTTGGAAACGCTGAGTAGCCTTTAAAAATCTGGCCCATTAAGTCAACTGGACACATGAATATGCAGATACACCGCACACCGCAAAATTGCAAGGTGTGCAGTACAGGACATGCAGAGGTCCAGGGAAAATAGGGTTTCACATGAAGGCCAATTACCTTAATGTAATAGTTTGTTGCTGTAACCTTTCAATTGTATTTAACAAACCAAGATGCATATGAATTAGGGGTGGAAGAAACTGGAATGCCACAACTTGCTGACCATAAGATTCATTAGAAATGGTTCTTGCGGAAATGTGTATGGAAAAAACTCTCAAGGCCAAACCACACTGGTCATATGCAAATACCCACATATGTTTTCAAATGCGGATTTTTGAAGTAGTAGAAATCTGTTTTCAGAAAAGTTTTGATTTATCTGTAGGCCATTAACACACTGCTGAAGGACAACAGGTGAACAATGCACCTGAGTTAGAAGGTCCATTTTCCATGATACATGGACAGGTATGTTTAGTTAATGGTTGAGTTTTCAACATGCACGTCATACAAATTTTAATCCAAGGCTTTTTGCTTTTTCAAAGAAACGTCTTCAAGTATTTTCTATGCATAGAGAGTGGTCAGTAGCTAATCTCATGCTTGCCAGAAATATAACTTAGACTTTACCACAGGAACTAATTTAAGTATACCATTACTAAATCTGGCTTACCTGGAAGTCTATAATCAGAGATAAAAAGCAAGCTTCACCTAAACATCTCTGCTGCTTGATTATCACCAGAGTAGATGCTTATGCATTTAATAAGTAAGCTGTCCTGTGAATGCGGATGGGGTAGCAAAACCAGATTTGTTGTCAAGGCATAATAATAATGTGTGAAATAGTGTTGCAAACTCTCACAGTTGAGTATCAATTCAAGAAATTCTACTCACGTTGTAAGGAAAGCTCCAGCCCTCCCTTCTGTGTCTCACCACACTTCAGGAAGCCCCTGTGGACTGGCTGCTTCCTCCACCTTCCCCTCTCCTGGATGGAATAACCAGGGACAGCCTGAGGAGGGGACTGGCACAGCTGTCCCCTCAGGGCAGAGAGGGTTAGTTTGGGGCTCCTCTTCTGATTCGATGGGGAGTGCTTATAAAGGAATCAGAGAGGGAAGGATCTCACACCACCACTTCCACAGAAGGGCAATGGCCATCCCTTTCTTTCCATCTCTCACAAAACTGGCTTTCTGCTTCCCACTCTTCAGGAGACCTCTGGCCTGGGGAAGGGGAGAAATCCTGAAGAACCTGGGTACGCTCCATCACCTGCTCTAAACCAGGAAAGGAAAGACCTTATAGCAGTTACCTCAATCCATGCAAACAGGGACAAGAAACACATATAAACCTAGAGACAGAAGTTTCTGTTGGAGTTGTTGGGGTTGGGGAGAGGTGGAGAAACAGAGATTTCATGAGAACTCGCAGAGGCTGCAAGCTCTGTACCTCCAGGTAACCATTCCAACTGCCAGCAAACTTTCAAATCCCTCATCCTGTTAAATACTTCCCCATCAATTTAATTGAATGAACTTACAATGCTTGACTCTATTTTACAGGATGAGAAAATCCTACTTTTGGATGAATAAAGGTCTTACATAAATAAGTTAAATACTTAGGAATGTTTAAAATCCTGCAATTCTACTGTTAGGTTTCAATTAATTGCTGTCTGAACAAATCATAGTTAACAGTGGCATCGTGGCACCAACTATATAAATTACGAAGTTTACTTGACTGCAAGTGTTTGGCAGGACAATTTAAAAGGGTCCATCAACTAAACAGGATATTCACACTGATACAATTCAAATGTGAACTCCATTAGTGGGCAGGATAAGGTGCAGACTTTGTCCCATCAAAGGAAAGCTACTGTTATGTCAAGTAAAAACGTGGAACCCAAGTGGTTCTTGATGTGATGAAGGCCTCTGTCTGTAAGGGACAGTATAAGCTTCTCCACCCTGTACCTAATACCAACATGTCACAGCTCTGACTGCAGGGGAGCAACGTTGTGGGCCACAAGCTTTCAGCTACACACACTCTTTTGCCAATATAGAAATCTGATCACGCCTACGCAATCGGAATACATGTTCCTGTGCAAAACTGGAAGGAAGGAGACAAAAAACGCCCAACATAAACCAAAAAAAAAAAAAATCAGCCAAGGTAATGTTCAATGTGCCCTGCTAGCAAATTATTTCCCAAGTCTTAATATGGCTATGCATTTCATCTGTTGCTTGATTACAGACCCGGGCAATTGTATTTTGCCTGTCCTTCCTCTCCGGCAGATGCCAGTGTGCTCTGCTGTGCAACCCGCCGGTTCTCCCTGAAGGTCCCTGCGTGAAACACTGCAGGCTCGTACCTGCTTGCAGCTATTTGATGTATCTGTGGTTTCACAAGGGAAAAAGAAATTTGTTTCAGCCTAGTCACTCAGATGGACTCTGTTTCAACAGTTCAGTTTATTTCCCAGAACCTCTGCAAGAAAGAGAACTGACTAAGGCTCAACTTTGGAAAAATGAAAGCAGTGTTTACTGCAATTTAAAAGGAACAGGCTGAAGTTGGTACTTGTACTACTCACTGAAGGTGTTTGGTGGACTTGATTTATTTGCCTATACGTTTTTTAGTCTCAGATTCCCATTGACTATATCAATATTCACACATTTGCAAGTCGAGAGCGCGTAGAAAACATTGCAGGGAGACCCCATCTTCCCCTGCTCATCAAGAAGTTGTGAGTTCTCCATGTCTTCCTTGTTCCTCATGTTCTCAGAAAAAAAACAGGTTCATAATCGCAGTATTGAAAGCTCTGAACTTGTTCTCTGATGGTTGGGATGGTCCAAGAGCTTGCCCTCGCCTCCTCTAGCTCCACTGCTCTCGCTACTGATTTCTGTGCTTCAGCGCTCAGAGCTGGTGACAGGTCTTCTCATTAGTGGGCTGCTGTTTGGGGAGTTTGTTTTCCCTGGTGATGGGCCAAAACCTGAGGCTTGGGAGATTGCCAGGTTTGATGTCAGGCATATTTATTTCCTTTAGGATCGGCTGGGTTTAGCTAGCTATTTATCCAGGCTAAGGGGCAACTTCAGAGGATTTGTGGGACCAGCTCTGAAAGCAGTGTTTGGTCTCCAAGTTATTTATTGAAGTATTTGGCAGTGATGGCAGCAAGTGCTGAAGCAGCTGGAAAGTAATTGCCCACTTTTCCTTGTATGGCCAAACAAGCTGTATTCCACCAGTTGGTTGGAAAACAAAGCAAACTTTCATACTAGATGCAAAAAAATCCAGGGGTTTTCTTCTTGTTTGGCTGAAAGAAGTCCACCCCAAATTTCTGTAAGCCTTTACTAAGGCATTTCTATTCCATATGTGCCTCTTCTCCAAGTCAGACAGACTTGTCAGGTAACTCCTCCTCAGCATTTTTGTGCAGGTAAGTGGTCTTCTGAGTGGACTATGAATCCACATACTATGGTGGATTTCAGGTATCATACCTGGATAAAGTCTTCTCAGTGCCTCTGTACAACGGTATCACTGTGTTTGCTTTATTTATGTTATTTTTTCTGAGGCAGATCTCAGTTTGCTGCTTCACTGTGATTGTACAAGCCAGCCTCAGTTTTGTGTCCCTGTCTGGCCCATTTGGTGTTAATGGCTGGCTTGGGGGATGAGAGGAAAGCAGTGAATTTTGTTTATCTTGACTTTAGTAAGGCTTTCAGCACTGTCTCCCCAAACATCCCCACAGAAGAAGTGAGGAAGTGGAACTTACCTAAGTGAGGTGGACTGCTGCACTGCTGGGCTCAGTGGGTTGTGATCAGCAGCACCAAGTCCAGCTGGAGGCCAGTCACCTCATGTGTACCTCAGGGGCTGATACTAGGTCTCATACTGTTTAACATCTTCATTAAAGACCTGGGTGTTGTGACAGGTGGTGCACCCTCAGCAAGTTTTCAGATAACACAAGACTGGGAGGAGTGGCGGATACACCAGAAGGTCATGTTGCCATCCAGAGGGACCTCACAGGTTGGAGGAACGGGTTGATGGGAATCTCATGAAGTTCAGCAAGGGGAAGTGCAAAGTCCTGCACCTGGTGGGGAACAACCTCACGCACCAGTATATGCTGGGGGCTGACCAGCTGGAAAGCAGCTTTGCAAAGAAGTACCTGGCTGTCCGGGTGGGCACCAAGGTGACCCCAAGGCAGCAACGTGCCCTTGTGGCAAAGGTGGCCAACAGGCTCCTGGGCTGCATCAGGCAGAGCATGGCCAGCAGGTCCAGGGAGCTGATCCTTCCCCTCTGCTCAGCCCTGGTGAGACACAGCTGGAGTTCTGGGCCCAGTCCTGGGCTCCCCAGTGCAAGAGAGACATGGACATACTGAAGAGAGTCCAGGGAAGGGGCATGAAGGGATGGGAACATGCCTCACAGGAGTTTGAGGACATATCTGGTTTTCCCTATTTAGCTCTTTCTCCTATGAAGTATGTGTAAGAAAAGAGACAACTCCTCTGCAGGTTCTTCTACAGGCTGACAGGTCTCATTAGAGACTGGGAGGACCAGCAATGCAGGCAGGGACCCTGTAGGACTGTCAGCTCACACACATCATCTGCCAGGGTGCCACCCAAGGGGAAAACACATCTGACCTCAATGCACGCACATCCATTGAGCAGGACTTCTGTTACTTTATACAACTGACAGCTCAAAGCGTCACAGACAGCCCAGGTGCTTTCTGTACATGGATCTCAACTTTGTTTTGTATAAGTAGAGCCAGCCTTTCATTACATTATTACATACTTTATTACATATATTTTATTACAATCACTGTTTATTATGACTACGATTTCAAAACATCAGTCTCCACAAACCAAACAGAAGGGAAAAATGCAAAGTTAGCTGGGCATTCAACAACTTGTCCAAAATTTGATTGATTTTGTGTTTCTTCCATTTACGATTTTCAGAAAAAGCCATTTATGTAACAGAAAATACCAATAAAACTATCTTCTACTTTTACTGAAACATACACCTGCAGCATCTACATTTCTATCATCTACAATCTACTACATTTTAAACATATAATTCACTGCAAATAACACTGTGCATTTTCTTATGGAAAGACTTAAGTATTGCAATGCAACTGTCCGTTCTTTGCTGCGCATTTTGAGTGACTGCCATTTCCACCATGTCTGGGCTACTGTCTGGTGCAGTGAAGAGTTTGGCCACAAACAAACTGTTAAAAAGCAAACAAGCAAACAAAAAAGCCCCAGAAAAAAAAAAAAAAAAAAAAAAAACCAACACAAAAATCCAACATGGTTGAACAGCAGAACAAAAGAGACTAATAGAAATAAAGTAGTGTCTTTCAAAAGGTGGAATTTGTATACAAAAAGGAAAATAAGAACAAACCCTGGCAAGCCAAGTGTAAAGCCACAAGAAGGTAAAACAAAAAAGCTTTTGAGATGCATTTTCTTGAAAGCTTTAAAAATACCAATCGGGAACTCATTGCTCTGAGGTATACTAAAAATTCTGCTCAACATGATGCAAATACCTACTGCATATCATTGTTTTGAAAGCTCTGGGTCACACCATGTTCCTTACATATGTGCATGCCCTAGGACGAGTGTGGTTTCTTACATTTGTTTTATATGTACACAATTCACTTGGATAGAAGCAAGTCACTCATACGTGTAGCTACCCAAAAAAATCCTCTTTGGAAAGCCTGATACCAACAGGAGAAGTTAAATACATTAAAAATTCTTCCAGTTAGTTCTCATTATGGTTTGTTCTTACGTTTTACTCCATGGCATTACTTGCAATGGCATTAACTTCAGACCACTAAGAACATACTTGGGAAACTGTCTGTAAAAAAGAGGTGACGTTGACAGAACACACTTTCACTTCCACAAAGAAGAGGAAAACAACGCCGCCTGGATTTTATATTTCAGAAAAACTGTTAGTAACATGGGAGAGAAAGCTGTGCGTTTTCACAAAATGTAGTCTTGAAGCTTGGGGTGTCCTGTTAGTTCAGTGCTTGTCAACAGTAACATTGTACAATGCAGCTACTACTGTAAAAGCAGTGAAAATATTTTATCACTTAAGCTTTTTTGTTTAAAATGTATTAGAATATTTATAGAAAGGATGAAAATCTTGAAGAACAGTTTATTTAACACAGCTTTACACTGCTGTGTAAAAAGAATAATTGTGTAGTTTACACATACACCATGTAAATTACTATGGAAACCAGATGTAGCTTACACTACAAGGTGCCTTGTAACTCATCTCTGCTGAGCAATAAATCCCCCCCCTTTTCTTCTTGGCAGAACTTTGAGAAACTTTACTGCTGTTTTCTATCAGCAGATACAACAGATGGCTGGCACATGCCTGCTTTACTAAGAAAGTGGGATCTCTACAGCATTACTTTGATCCCTGGTGGCATGTCTACAACACTGAGACGCAAAATACCACAGCTGAGCAGAATCTAAATATTAAAGGTTTGGAGCCGTGCTCTCGATATGAGAACCCCCTATCTAAAAATCATGCTCACAGTATGTAAATATCTTCACATTCCACATGGAAATTTTGGTACAGAGGTCAGAAAACAAAGTATTTCCTCTGTTTGGTGACATGAAACCGCAGTGAAGGTACTACTGTAAATATCAAGAGTGCGAGTTTATGTGATTGCCTTGACCAAACTTCCAGAACAGCCATACTTTTATTGGGGGGAAAACAAAAAAACCACCTAAATTGTGCGTATGAGACATTTTTTAAAGCGGAAAAGTATCACTGTAATCATGGGGTACGAATAAGATATTTACAAATAGCTCAGTAGTTTCTTTGAAGAAAAGTTTCATCTGAAGAATTACATGTTCTGAAATTCACTGGGTTTTGTGTTCTTTCAGTTTATCAGGGAAATAGTGATGTTTGAATGGAGCGCCCCATTGCATCAATAATGCCTTAAAATTGGTAGTCTGTTAGCTTTCCTCTGGGCAAGGGAACAAAAATTCTCCTGGCACAGATGCATATTCCATTTTATCTTCATGGTCAGGCTACGGCTCAGCAATATAAGGTAATTCCAGAGAAATCAGTTGAGCTCTTTGGAGTTCATGGTGTCATTGTTGAGGCCAGAACTAGCCTCCAGGACCTGTAATTATATACCATGCCTAAGCACCACTTTACAATATACAAACAACGCTAGAAAACGCACTGATGACATATATCCCCTCTTCTTAAGAGGTGGGCAACTTTTTGCTTTATTCAAGGTCATCAATAACTCTTTGATCAGAAGTAACCCAGCCTTCCCAGCAGGGACAGATCCAATCGCCTCCTTTAAGAACCCTGAGGACTACATGCTGGGATGTCCCCTTATCTCCTGACACTTGTGCCCAGAAGCACTCCCAGACCAAAGACCTTTCCCCAGCACTTGATCCCCTTGCACACATGTGTGCATCGCCTGTCACAGGGCAGAAACACTACTGCCGTATGACAAAATGGCCTGCATCCAGCAGCACAAGGCTGGATGTATCTTTAGCATGTAATCTACATGTAATACCCATGCACTGCAAGATATGTACATGCATCTTCCCATTGCATGGGCCACATCCCATGCATGCACCAGCACAGGACTGAGCATTCAGATGTCACAGCATGGGTACGCATTCAGCCCTGCAACAGGAGAGGAGCCATGGGGGACTCAGGACGGTTGGGAGTAGGAAGCAAGCTGCTACAGTAATTCATCTGACCCCAAATGCAGGCGCAGGTTGTGGACCAGACTGATTGTTAATATGGATCAGACCAGAGACTGCTACAGAACAAAAATTCCAGCTTGCTTTTTGGTTTCTTTTTTTTGCCTCCCATCTATTAAATCAACCCAGCTGCTGCTCTGTCACTGAGCCCTTGCTTCCTGTGCACTGATCAACCTTGTCTTTTATACGGTTCTCTCCCACCCATACTCACTCATACATGATCTTAATTTTATTGCTGTCAGAAGTTTCACTGAAAGTTAAGCATGCACGTTGGGTTTTGTGGATTCAGAGCTTAAATACCTGTCCTAATTTCCTAAATGCTGTAGAGATGACGTTATCACTGCAATCTTTGGTACCTTCCACTGGTGGACATGGTGAAACACGCCACAGCGTTAGTTAGCGTAATAGGGTCTATTCCTCTCTCGCTGTGAAGTCTTTAAGTGCAATCTTCCCCAGAGGACAAGGCCCCCAAAAGTCATTATTCTTTCTTTTGCAAAAACCATACAGAGTAAGAGCAAGAAGCACAGCAGTGAGCTCTAGTGGTTACACGGATGCCTACTGTATGCTACATATTACCACTGATTTTTGCTTTTTTAAACCTTTCAAACCAAGGAGCAATCTTTGTAACTACCAATTTAGTCAGATTACATTTTTTCCAAAGTGAACATAGCATCTGCAATCTTACATTCAAATTCATAGGTAAAAAAAATAAAGTGCTTAAAACCCTAACAATCCCATTCTGCAGTACTCTAGGCTTCCTGTATTGCCTGGCTCACCCTGACTTCACCAGAAAAAGGCATTCAGCACCTTCCAACCCTTAAATTTTAGGTTTCCCCTAATATTTCCTAATAATTAATTAGAAGTAATGGACTAAGGACTAAAGGCAACTAATGATTTTGTTTGGTTAATGTTTCCTAGTGAAAATGGCTTTAATTGTTTGTTTACCATACAAATTCTTTTCCACATCAAAATGGATCCAGGGCACAGAGGCCACTGTATTAGAAACGTGACATCCAAATGTAGTGGGTTTTTACCACTTCAGTTTATACAGAATACAGGTACAACCTAATACTTAAAATCTTCCTTTCGACAGACATTTTTGAACTAGAATATGGACATATGCAGCAGCGCAGGACTGAGAAGTATTGTCACTCCCTGGGTTGGATTATTTATTCACCCACCACTTGGATCATTATTTATCCCAGGAGCAGGTAGATGGCATCTACCCACGGGATATTTATACCCACTTACCACAGGTGTAAACAGGGGTGCAAGGTGCGCATCAGGAGAGACTTAGCCCTACCCTGCTGGAGATCCCAGCTGTGGTGGGTTGACCTTGGCTGGCTGCCAGGCACCCACCCAGCTGCTCTCTCACTCCCCTGTCTTGTTGGTATCAGGGCTAGCAAGCATGTAATGACATAGACAGGATCTCCTGTACCTACTCGGGAGAAGTCTCATA